AATCAAACAGCCAGGGCCCGAGGAAGCGGTGCCAGATTTGCCGCCGAACTTGCCAAAGGACTTCCCCTTCGACTTGCCCGCCTTGCTGCCCTTGCCGCCTCCAGCTGGACTCCCGCCCTTCTTGCCGCCGAGGGGGTAGTAGCCTCTCGCTGCGCGAACCCGCGAGATCGCCGCCCTCGCCTCGGCCAGGGTCTTTGTCGCCTCGGCCGCGAGGATGGCCGCGTCTTGTTCCTGCGCTACCAGGGCCTCCTCGTCCTCGTGGCCCTCGCCCTCGTCAGCCTCGGCATCTGCACTCACCTCGGTGACGGGGGCCTCCGCGTAGGGCTCGGAATCCCAGTCATGCCACGAAGCCGCCGCCCACTCAGGAGAAGCCCAATGAGCCTCTTCATCCCAGGCCCATTCGCCCCATCCGTCATCCACCAGCCAGGCCTCTTCTTCGCCCCAGCCAACGGAAGGGTTCCAGGCAGCCTCGTCCGTCCACCAGATTCCGCGACGGCGGTGAGGACGAAGAGCATGTTGCTTGGCCTCCTCGGAGTCGCCGAACAGGGCTCGAAGTGCTTGGCGGATTTTCTCAAAGGCAACCGAGTTGGAGGTCAAGGTTAAAATCTGCATCCGCTGGTCGTTGCTAAGCCCGGCCGCCTTGAGTAGCCTGTAGCCCCTCAGTTCGTCCTCGAAGAAGCCGACAGTCTGGGCCGCAGGCCTCACCAGCAAAGGTGGAGCCGCTGTCGCCTGCTCCTCTTGAGGAACAGCCTCTTCTCCATCATCTCCAGCGGTCTCCTTCTTCTCCTTTGCCGAACTCGGGGACGCAGCCGCAGCAGCCTTGCTCAGGCGCAGCCGGCAGCACACCTTCAAGAACTTCCTGCTTCCCAGCACGAGAGCGAAGCAAGCTTTGCTGAAGCTCCCTGAAGAGGTCGTCCTCCCGGACAATCAGCTCCGGGATGGTCTCTGTGTCTTTCCTCCTCAAGGAGTGCCACCTTTCCAACTTCGAGAAAGAATCAGGTATAGGAAGAGTCTGAAGAGGGGAGGCCCGCAATACCTGAAGCAGCTTATCAAGCCCGGCGGAATTATCAAAGTCCTCCGGGGAGAGGTGCTTCACCACGCTCCTGGCAGGTCCAGTAAGTCGGCTCCACACACGAGCCGCGGCCCCTCTTCTCTCGCCCTCCTTTAGCGTCTTCTCGTACCATCTGCAAGCAGTCTCGAAGGTATGGAAAGTGGCTGGGTCGCCGTTCCACGTCGGGACATCGAAGGAATAGTCCTTGCTCATCTCGGCAGCTGCCCCGGATCAGAAGCACACCAGGTGCTCCGCTGCCATGTTCGAGCACACAGGCCCTGGATAAACAAGCAGGCTTCAAAAGCCCAGCGCACACACTTTTCCTGCCACTGGCTAAAGCTCGAGAGTCCCACCCTGCGGAAAGCAAGGCACAGTCCTGCACAAAACCTCACAAGCATGATCGCAACTCTCACACCCCCCCAGGCTCGGCTTTACACTCAAAGGTTGCGAAAAGAAAGAGTCCCCCAACTGATTGCAGTGAACAAGCAGCAATCACACAGCATATTCATGCAAGTCATAGGATACTAAGGCTGGGACCCAGATCAGCGGGGGAGCTCTAACGAACAGTTTGGGGTGCTAGGCCAAAAGCATGCTGTTTCCCCCCGCTTCATTGAGCAGGTTTTGAGTTGCCGTTGGTGGAACGAAGAACGAATTGGGGCTCTAGCTGTCCCCCGAATTCACCGTGGGTTTACAGGTGAATTGAAAAGACACTAAGATTTTGGGCGATGTGGCCCGGTACATGGCTTGAACGGAGAAGGCTAGAAAGCCGTTAAAAATTTCACACCTAATCCCCCTCAGAAGTTGTTGCTTCGGTCTTTTTCTCGGCAGGCGGTCGGCACCAAGCTTTCACAAACCAAAACTTGCAAAGGGACAAAGTCCCCCGTTCGGAGTGGGCTCCCCCTGTCAGCTTCTAGAGGCTTCACGTTCGGCACGGGCTCTTGCCATATGCTCCTGTACTTGTTGTACTCCTCGCCACTGCCGTCGCTCTGCTGTAGCCAGGCAGTCTTGTTGTTGTTCTTGGGGCGGCGGACTCCCCCTTGGTTCGCTCGGTCTCATTGCTAGATGGCTTGGGCTGTCTCCTCGGTCGGAGGGGCGACCAGAGTCCCCCCCAAGGCCAACTGTGCAACGGCTCTACCTCGTCGTCAGAGCTGTTCCCCCAGTCAGGGTCTCTTTCTCTCTTTCTCTCCTGGTTAATGCTTCTTGGGCCGAAGGCCCACCAATCTCTCGCTCTCTCCCTCCCTATCTCGAGCATGAGGAGCGTCCGAAGCTCCTCGGGCCGAAGGCCGACCTGTATTTGCTGGGCGTTGTGGAGGAGGGTGAACCGAGCTGTCATTCCCCCCGAGGATGCCGCTTAAAGGCTACAATCGTCATATCAACTATATTCATCAATTTTGTTCTCTCTCTCTCTCTCTCTCTCACTCCCTCCCTCCCCCTCGCTCGTTGATTATTTCCTTCTCTTTGTCTCTCTGTCGAGTCTCTCTGTCTCACCTATGTTGCTGTCACCGAGTGCCACCAAATTGTCGCGACTTGCATGTTGGGGTCGGCAACCGGCATGACACAAGTACACAGCTACGTGACTTGCAATATGAAGTGCTAGCTTTCGCAGCAGTGACCTGTTGGGCTGCCCAGTGCAACGCCGTAAATCCACGAGCATCTCGAGCGTTGACCTGAATTCTGCTCCAACGAGTATTGCAAGAGATTTTGTTCCACCGCGAAAGGCATCGCAACTGTCAATCTCTTACGGATTTCATGTCTTCAGAACCGTCGACCTTGCTACGGCAGCTAAACATCGGCTACGGCAATTCAAAGTAGACTGCAGTCAGGCTTGCTGAAATAGCCGGTCGCTAGCAAGTCTCTCCGGCCTCCTCATGGCATGACTCCGATGGCAATTTTGGGAATTGACCAAATCCCTCAAGTCGCAGATGTCTCCACCGAGGCCAAGGATGCCGAGGGCTCGGCGGCACTGAAACACGTTGATCCCAACAGCGCTTCCACAGTTGTGACGAAGCCGCCTGCGGCTGCGCATGGCGAGTGAAGGCAACGAGCAAACGGCAGCGAGCCTTTGGCGGCCATGTGAAGAGCTGTGGCACCCATGCGGTTGACCTGCGTATACATGCGAAAGCGCTCTTGCTTGTGTTGCAAGAACCTTGGGCATCTTGCTTGTGGAATCTCAAAACATGCACATCAAACGCCGGGAAGGCATTCTTGTCTGTAGCGCTCCAGCTGCACCGACACCGAAGTCAGTCATGTCGCATTGCGCTGGTGCAAACTTATTAAACAAAATTGTACTCCTGAGATTCGCAACCAGAGCTTCCAGACACATTTGCTTCTTGTTTCGCAGCTCATTACAAAATCCGCTTCCTAGCCACATACGGAGCTTTCCCCATGGTCGCAGGTACTGATATCAGTTATGCAAAAACATGCACTATGCCAACACCTTGCATCTTTCGAAACAAGCGAAAGCGTCTTCGACGGCTCCCGTCCGTGTGTGTGTGTGTGCTGTCGTATTCGCATGCTCCCCGACACCATGCAATATTTCGTCACTGCCGGAGGAGAACCAGCCAAGGTCTAGCCTCTCGGATTTTGCCCGGACCATGCTGGAGGGCCAAATAACATAGAATCTACGCCGCAGAAGCTGCACAACGATGACACTCTGACAATCTCTAAATCCAGAAAGCTAAGGCGCCAGATCTGATGCAAAGGCTCCGATCTTGGGGCTATGTGATTGGGCTGTCAGCACGCAGCCTTGTTGGCAGCCGAGGGCCCATGGATGAGCAGTAGTTGGCAGATCTCCACTCGCCCAGTTGCTGCAGCCATGTGCAGCGCCTACAGCTGTCACAGTCAATTCTTTCCATCGAGTGTTCGAAACCAGAGCCCGCCAGCAATCCTACGGTGCGAGTCATGAGCTGGCACAACGCAGAAAAGCCCTGACACAAATTCGCAGATGTCGTCGAGGCCGCTGCTGTGTTCATGTCATAGAGCTCAGCAGCTTCACGCGCCCAGTGCCCATTCGGTCGCGGTACCTCGCAGCCGGCAGTAGATCCATCACTCCTGCAATGACAAGCTCAACCTCGCAAGACAGTAAACCTCACATCAAACCGTTGCACTTTTACCAGCACTAACCACGTCACTGGGGAGCAGCTTACAACGGGTGACTAAGCCACTTGCATCGAAACTGCCGGAGGCTGTGATGATGTCCTGCAAACGAGAAAACTTGCGAGCACCCGCATGCATACTGCTGGCAACGAGATGTTTCCTCTGAGACCAAGGGGGAGCGGAGCAAGGCCTGGATGCAGCCCAAGTGGCCTGTAGCAGCGAACCAAGAACACACGCGGTGACAAACGGCGGATCAACAAGAATGGATGCTTCGGACTCTCACCAATCTCAATCCGACTGCTATCTTCTGGATCTTCTCGGACAGCGAACTTTGCTACTACGCCAGGAAACCTGCACACCTATGGTGTGTGCATGTGTCCGAGCGCGTCAAGCGAGACCTCGAAAAGCGGCACCGTGGAGTGCGGTGAAGCCGTCCTCAGCATGGGCTACGCGACATGATTCATCGAGCTGTCACAACCAAGAACCACTACTTGTACAACCAAGTAAAGGTTGTGTTGCTGTAGGCATTGCATACCTA